AGTTAAAAAGTCGTCTTCGCACAGCGTGCGTGCGAAATTTATGATAATAAACAAGTTGTTTACACGCGTTGTATACGTCGATTTCAACCAATCACTGATTGTATATATCACTTCATTTATACAGGTGGTCAACCCAGGTTTCCAAAATACGGTATGTCTATCTTTTTTTGTTTGAGAAGGGGAATCTAATGTGAGGTATACAAGGCTGTTATCAGATGCATTTCAAGTGCAACAGAACAACTGATCTTGTCTCAAGATATTGTCCTATTTCGAAAAGTGCATTTCATTCTATGGTCATTTGACAATCGTTTTCGAGTCTTTTAGATACTCACCGTTAATGTTTACGTGCGCTCAACGTGGCTTTTATTGATATTTTAATATTAAAATATCTAACCACTTTTAACCACTAAATACTTCCACTGTCGACTGTTTTAGGTTCAACCCTAAAACATATTTGAATACACTTATCTCAATACCCCGAAGCAGTAATCTTTGGTGCGGTGTATGTATAAAAAGGTATATATTGTTTGATAATTTAGAATATGTTTACGTTGGGTGTTATAAAGAAGACTTGGATGACAGGGCCATACCTATTAGTTTCGGTGGACAGCTCCCGCAAGACCTTACACCAGAGCAGACAATTCTCAACTGTGCATCCAAGATCCACCGACGGAATGATGCTTTTGAAATATTTGCTTTGATGGCCAATCGTAAGTGTTTCTCAGGTCTGACTGCAGCCGATACCTATGCCAAACATGGGCCATCGAATGACTGTAGTATATCCGCTGATGGCGACCTATCGTCCAGGTCTGTTTTTGCCTTTGTCAAAACCAGTGTAACATGCCAAAAAGAAATGATGAATCTCGCCTGTGACCATGGCAGAATTCAGATTCTTTCTGCAACCTATGGGCGTGGCGATGGGCTGGGTGAGGAATGTGGTGACCCGACTATGGAACCCGCTGAGTGTTTCGCAACCGACACCTTAGACATAGTGAAAGATTTATGCGATGGCGAGATAACATGTACTAAGAACACCGTCATGTCTGTATTTGGCGACCCCTGCAATAGTGCACCAAAACATCTCGTAGTCCGTTATTATTGTGAGTATATTCCCCTCTTTTATCAAGTATGTAGTCTATTATCAAATGCAACGTTACTCAATTATAATAAATGAAATAATGATACGAGCTGTGATACCTACAAATATATTTTTCTTTCTTTCTCACTTCATTTCATTTATTCGTTTCATGTACATTCACCGTTTTTAAAATTTAAAAAGTCATCTTCGCACAGCGTGCGTGCGAAATTTATGATAATAAACAAGTTGTTTACACGCATTGTATACGTCGATTTCAACCAAGTATTGATTGTATATATCACTTCATTTATACAGGTGGTTAACCCTGATTTCCAAAATACGGTATGTCTATCTTTTTTGTTTGAGAAGGGGAATCTAATGTGAGTTATACAAGGCTGTTATCAGATGCAACAAAACAACCGTTAATGTTTACGTGCGCTCAACATGGCTTTTGTTGACATTTTATTATTAAAATATCTAACCACTTTTAACCACTAAATACTTCTACTGTCGACTATTTTAGGTTCAACCCTAAATCATATTTGTATACACTTATCTAAATACCCCGAAGAAGGTACATTGTGATAAAACAATCAACAATAACTCTATTGGTTTTAGTATCACACGAGTTTTTCCGCTGTCGACTTTGTCGAGCAGAGCTTATCATATGAGTGATTGTCCGTCGTCGTCCGTCGTCGTCGTCGTCCGTCGTCCCTGTCAATGTTTTACTTTTTCGACTTCTTCTTGAAAACTACAAACCTTAATGCTTTGATACTTGGTGCATATATACATTGGATAGACCTCTCTTAGATTTGTTCATTTCATGCTGATATCTTCAATTTTCTAATTTTGGTGAATATATTGTCATTTTTGGTAAAAAGTGATATTTTCGACTTCTTGTTAAAAACCACAAGTCCAATTACTTTGATATTACATATATAGGTACTACACGCGGACCTCTCTCAGATTTGTTCATTTTGTGATGATATCTTTAATTCTTTAATTTTGGTGAATATTCTTGTCATGTTTGGTGAAAAGTTATATTTTCGACTTCTTTTTAAAAACCGCAAGTCCAATTGCTTGGATATCATATATACAGGTACTACATGTGGACCTATCTCAGATTTGTTCATTTCGTGATGATATCTTTAATTCTCTAAATTTAGTGAATATTTTTGTAACTTTTGGTAAAAAGTGATATTTTTGATTGCTTTTATATTACATATATAGGTACTACATGTGGACCTCTTTCATAATTGTTAATATTGTGGTGATATCTTCAATTATCTAATTTTAATGATTGATTATTTTTGTCATTTTTAGTGAAAAGTGATATTTTTGAATTCTTGTTGAAAACAGCAAGTCTCGTTGCTTTGATACTACATGTATACATATTGTTCATTTTCTAATGATATCTTCAGTTCTTTAATTGAAATGTGAATTGCTAACAGCGGAGCTATCTCAGCCGACAGGCTGCTTGTTATTTGACTACTCCTATAGCATAATTTGAATTTTGAAATAATAATCGCTTTCATGGCACAACATGAGAATACTGATTTGTCATTCGTTTACTCACTGCTCACGTAGGATATCAGTTATTAATCACCAATTTGAATTTATCTACAGGTTCTTAGAAATGTGGGAGATCAGCAAATACCGTATAATTGCCTCATCGGTGAGTAACAGTAACAATTTTCAAACAAGTTAGGGTCTGAGTTTCTTTATTTAGACACAACTTAACCTATGGATTCAATTGAGCGGCGTGTTTCAGCTTATGTATAGTACAGTACATGTTACAGAGAAGTGGTCACAACTGCTGTTAATTATATTCACTGTTAGTCAAAGGTGCCGACGTGTTCTAAGCTGATTATGTGTTAATTGCTGGAAACACACATTGCACACAGTACGGTAGCCTGGCGCAGTCGGGTCGATTAATTTGTTTTTGTAGTTTAAATACAATGAAAAAATCGCTAAATGGAGGTGTTAGCGCGAAATCATCCCGACTGGTTTATTCTGCATGGCCCTCTATCCACACTGCAGAAACCCGTCGATTTTTCAACGGGTAATTATGTTAATGAGTGTTCTAATTGACAATCATCTAAGCCAATCACAACGTCTCTTCAACTGACCTCTGTCCGAGAAGACGTCGGCTGATTGTAGCAGCCGATTTTTTTTTATTCTACGACTAGTACGAGTTAGTTTTTAAGTCTATTTACGACGACTTTCAACGTGCCGCCATGTTGGGTCTGCAGTATGACCTTTAACATGTTGACCTCATTATGCAAATATTTCCGCCTCCATCTCATTATAATATGTGCATTCATGAATATTTAATAGCAATGAATTTCCTGCAGAATAAACCAGTCGGGGTGATTTCGCGCTAACACCTCCATTTTGCGAATTTTGCTATTTTATTTAAAGTACAAAAAACAAATTAATCGCCCGACTGCGCCAGTCTAACAGTACGGTTGAATGGCAGAAAACCACATACAAAATCGGTCCATTATTAAATGTCAATCAAAGATAGATTATACCAACACAGTACAGCAAACTAAACTTTACAAAAACACCCCCAACGTCTGCCAATGTCAAAATAATTATCAGTTTTGTGATTTAACTCTATATTTGCAATTATTTACAACCATAAAGGCAAAAAAAAAATCAATATTAACTATATTAAGTGAATTTTGAATATCTAAATTTACGCATAATCAAATATTTTAATCAAATTGCATGGACATTACGTCTGATATTTATGGAATGTGTGATTAATTTGAATCTATACTTATTATGTCTTTCCAGATGTACGATATCAGACGGTGGTGGAAACACGGTATACCCCTTAATGTAGAATAATTATCCTTTGAGTGTATACACAATAATATTATATGTAGGTGTATGAAATGTACAATAAATATAACAGTTTTAGATTACTTTCACGTGGTCCTTGTTGTGATTTAAATTAGCGCATGCGCTTTCTATACTCTATACTACGCATGTTCAAAAATGCAATTCTCGTATTTACGGCTCTCCCCTATAGTATTGTTACAGATCTCACACCACACGTGTTATATTCAACGCAGTGTTTACCATAACATGTTTACACCAAAAAGGGTGCAGTTATTTATTCTTGGGCGTCATCTGTTGGTCGTAACATGGGATGTACTAACGGTACCGTTAGTACCTTCCATAGTCCTAATATATTGGGGAGTGTTATTACACGGTTGACAAATTCACGCAAAGAACGTCCGATTAAAACCGTCTGGGCTGAGACTAGGCAGGGTGGAATGGTATTGAATGTCCTCCACATTTCACATGTTTAATTGGTACTTAAAGGGTGAAAAACTCTAAGATTTTATGTTATATTCATGTTATCTGATGCCTTTTGATAAAGTATAATTACAAAAATAGGTCTTTTATTATAATGTATCTTTTATTGCTTCATAACACGGGTTTGAAAATTAAGTTGGTGTCAAGTCGCTGCTCACAATTGCGAGATCTGGCCGTAGAGGGTTAAATTGTGACGTCATTACTGAATAGTTGCGTTATCACAGTATACGCTGACGGTTTATCCCGAGACAGTATCTACTCTCCACAAAGCGCTTGTTTCGATGGAAAATTGCAGCGTTAGCAAATATAAAAATGAAAATAAAACGGAATTTGACATGTATGGTAAAACAGTTATAAAATCATGTCAGTTGTACTCAACGTACTGTGCAGGCGATGGCAGAAAATGTTTGAAAGTTCCGGTGATGAATCGGAAGTCGGTGTTGATGTGGACAGACTGAAATGCAGAGAATGGTGTTCGTGTCAATTGCAACGTGATGCCAACTGCACTGGAGTGCATTTGTTGCCAAGAAATATCGGTATTATGTTTTTGTGGTCATTTCGTATCATGGCTGTTATCAGTAACGATTATCATTCGATACATGTTGCTTTCATTCTGGATAGGCTAGGTCGTTTTCAAACAATAATTACGTGAATTAGTGAACGTCTACTGTTACTCAATTGCATTGTGTAATTATTATTTATTTACTAAATAAATGCAATTCAGTTTACCTTAGAATGGACGCTGCGAGAAATAACCAATCGTCATGTACGTGGCGATGTGTGAAATGAATCAGTTCGCACCCAAGGTGTGCTAAAATCTGGTTTGACTCGCGTACTTCTATTTACATTGCTTTTATATGTATACACTTCAGAATTACAAGCAAAATAAAATGCCGGTTTAGAATACAGGAATGGTGGTCAATGTTTTCTAGATGCAGTAATAGACTGAATAGTTGAGACCAAGACAGGGTGCCGGACACATCTGGCTACATCTGTTTTAAAGACAACCTAGTGAACATCTTATAATTTTGTAACCAATATTTCTTTTCTTTCACTTGTTGGCTCGTTGTATATCGATATGTTGCTTAATACATATTGATGGTTAGAATAAGTTATGTAATTGAAATATGTCATACAAGAAGCTCCAATCGAATGAATGTTATTGAAATAATCATAGTTTATTGGCTAAATATATTTAAATATACATAGAAATTGGATTGGACTTGAAATACAATATATAATACAATCATTGGCTAGATGCAACAAAGACCATCTTGGGGCCTTCCATAAAGTAAATCCTTCCTAGAATAGTCCCGATTCCAGTCCAATGATCCAAAACTATTAAAAAGATAAAATTATGAGAGCATGCAAGACACTGTCGCCATCAGTCGGTGCCATCTTGTCGGTTAATAGTCGTTATACACGCCTGGTGTTGTTGTGCTTCTAAAACAACTGTTAAGTTTTAACCGCAACCGCGGTAAGTTTTGGACAGATTACAGAGTACTGTATTAGATATGAGCGCGGCTAATTTAATGAAGCTAATCATCAAAGAAACATAAATTTTTTTGGGCAATGACATGTTTTTAAACAAATAGTTAAATAACGGGTTTAAAAGGCATGTACATAATTTCAAAATAAAAACGTTCTCAGTAAACGGGATCTTTGAAAACAAATGCCCATCATTGTAAGATTGCGAGAAGCTTAAATTTGAAGTCAATGCGAAGCTACTAGGATTATAACAGTAAAACCAATCAGAGAGGATCTTGTTTGTTGGTGGTTTCTGTTTGACGTATCTAATTCCGCCTTATATAAACGCTTCGTCTCATCTGTAACCTTGGAGACGACACAGTGATCACCGGACGATTCTGTGGATATATGGAATATCAAATGGTTTTTATTCCATATACAAAATGTATTCATGATTCTATTCAACTTGTTTAAATGGTGACCCAAAGCAAACTAAACAGAATACACAAATCAGATGAACTTTCAACGATATCATAACGAGAAATATCCCCTGCTATGTAAAAAAATATTGTCAAATAATAGGATTGCAATAATTGCCGTGAAACAACATGTACACCTTTGGCCATAACTATCCTTATAAATGATTTGACATGTAATAACGTACAATGTCACCAACAACCAACTTCGTATTCTAAGTATTTCGGGTGCGATCCTGGTAAAAAATGATGACTGACCCTGGAGTGTGGTTAACACGCTAGAAAAGGTTCTTGTATAATATAGTGAATATATTGTTGACAATAATAAATCACGTATACTGTATGTGGTAACATATACAAATTACAATGAGTTCAAGTTGTAGTGTTAAAAAGTGGACCTATTGAAATATGTACGTCCATGAGCGCTTCCGTCCCCATCTTGGACATGATTCTATTCAAACTAGACGTCATTTTGTTCTACAGGTCAGATTAAAAAAAAGCTAGGCTTAGGGGCCATTTTGTTTTAATGAATGCTGGCCAGCGAAATATCTCGATTCCTAAACTTCATAACTCACGGAGGGGGGGGGGTCTGTGTAATGCAATTACTTGTTACTTTGTGTTTACATCGACACATTGGTGCAGCAATAGACATTCGCACATTATTGTTCTATTATATAAACAATTCTACTGAACACGGGCATGACAGGACATCACCAAAGCTTTGTTCCCTTTAAAATAGAATTTTCATTTTAGGTAACTCATTCCAGAACGAGGTCTGCATGTCACCGAAGATCTATAAGAACTTGAAAAGTATTCATGAACGTTGTGGTACGAGTATTTTCCAGTGTTCCCGTTAAGAGCCGAGTTAGCACCACTTCACCTCAGGTTTTATGCAACCTGTGTTGCTCCTAAATAAGTATGCCGTTCATATTACACAATATACCTTATGTGACGCCAATTGCCACAGAGATCTCGTTTACAACGACTTTTTGGTCCTTAAATAATTGCCTCTCATCATGGCGTCCAATGTTTTATATCGCAATGGAATTTAGAACAGTGAGTTCGATGATGCCAGAGAAGGTAACAATCTACAGAGGGGGTCACGTGGTTCCCTTGCTCCTTACGAGATCTCACTGGCTATTTGCGTTTAAGGTATATTGATCTCAAAAAAGGGGAACAAAACGAGCGTACAAGGAATTTCCCCAAAATCGGAGACACCAGCACAGTGTGTTACTTTAATTGTACTCAAGTATGCTCTATTACAAGACTTCTTGTACACTAAAGGTGTCCCTTTTCGAGCGAAACTCGCTTTTTCATGTCAAAACTTTTATACAGTCTCGCATTACAAACAACATACTTGTTATTGCTTCGATTTACTTTTATTTACACGACAAATACATGTGCTGTATGTGTATAAGCTGTGTTTACCGATGGTGGGATGGGGTGGGGGCTGGGGTAAATTCTTCATAATTGACAAACCAGCGAATACAAATCAACGTTTTGACGTTGGAGATGAAGAATTTCAAACGTTCATATTATTTAAAATATAATTTATTCATTTCCCAACAACCCAAAAAAGTATTGACAATTGTATTAAAATGACATCACAAAATAAGTGAAACAGGTAATAAAAAAACAATAACATTTGACAATATTTAAAAACCGTATCTTGTTACGGTTTTTCGTACACGTCTCGGATATTTTCTTGTTACGTTTATTGGAGCATTTTCTTTCTCTTTCTTCGTTTCCTCTATCTTTCTTTTCTGTTTCAGCTCATTTTTCAAATACTCATTTGCTTTTCTGTACCTAAATACAATTTCATTATTATTATTAGTTAATTTCAAGGGGAATACAATATAATAATTATTTTATTTATTTATTTATTGAAGATAATTGAAACCTGAATACTAAATATATGTTCTATACGACCGATAGTCTAACACATATTATTAAACGTGTATATAGATCAAGTAATTGATTTAATTCCAAATAAACTTTAGTTTACTATTAAACTACTTAATGTTAGTTTTTTTATTACGAAAAACCAAATGGGCAAAATACCAAAAAATATCCATTATTTCTGCCCTCTCAAAATAAATAAAATAAAATAAAATTCCCCAGAATCAGATATTTATAATAATAAATTAACGATAATCTGTAGTGTTTGCACTACAGTGCTGTTTTGGTGAGCTCAAAAACGGGCACCGCCAAAACATACTCAAATGTGTATTGTAAATAACAGTACTCGTACTTTGTGCAGTACGCGGTAATTCATCCATTACACACACACTTTGAAAAAGTTGAAAAAAAATGAAAAAAAAAATAATTGTTTGTGGTAACCGATTTTTTTGGAAGAGATTTTGGTAGAAACGTTATTACTAACAATTTCCTCAATGACTAACTTGTGGTGAGGCAACCTCGATGAAATGAAATAGCACGTGGTTAGCATATGCCATGTCCATTGATAGACATTGATGATACGTAGGCCTATCAAACTGTTCAGCATGTACCGTGACAACACCCAGCGATCTGCAATCCGTTTGATATCAGTATTGTCGTAAACACCTCTAAAATTCAAACTAATTCATTCCGACTTGCATTCTATCCACTGTCATCAGACTTTCTGAAATGCCTCATTACATTCATCGGAACTAGTTTTTTGGGACAACGATAACCTAAAGTGATGAGTGGTCTCATTTCTCGCCATCTAGAGATTACGTACCAAAGAAATCGCAGCGAGTAAGTGGAAGTTAGTAATTTCCAGTGTTTATGCTTTTCCCTTGAGAAGCAGTATAGCAACACGAGCCGTGATGTATACTGAAATATTGTCGTTCTGTTATTTCTTGCGGAGTAATATTATTGGATCACACAAGTCATGTATATGTACGGTAGATTGTCATAATACTTCACAAAACGTGCACAGTGATCATTCAACCTTTACAGGAGTAGTCGCACCATTGAATTATTTTTGTTCACCAGACAACTGTTAATATATTCGCGACGGTTGGGGTAATGGCTTGTAATAATTGATTAGAAATTACAATGTTTACTTACTCCTCAATTTCCTTCGTCAGTTGAAAATACATTTGCATACTCTTATCCCTCTCTTCAGCTATTCTCCTAAGAAGTAAAATGTGAGATAATGTAGAGAACGAATTCTACCAGAACCATTTTGCAACAAAGAGTTAAAAGGCGGTAGTGATCGCTCTGATAGACACTGATTTTCCCACAATCCAATGCGCTCTTCCATTGGAAATCACAAGTATGAGGTTCGACGTGGGCGCGACTAGCACTAATTACCGCTCATGGCTTCTTCGATACCTTCTAAACATTTAATAAAATACCTATTTGAAACTTAGTAGGGTCTCAGTTTGTACTCGTTGATCTGCCAAGTGCGCAACAGTCAAAATCGCCATCTTTGTTTATACGAGACAAATATATCTCGCGCATGCGTGGCGCGACAACTACCGCCCTTTAATTTGTTTACATAATCTTAAGCAGCAAATGTGTATACGTACTTTTTCAATTCACTTTGCAGGTGATTTATTGTTTTTTCTTGAGACTGTATTATATTTAGATATTCCTTCTGTGTCATGTGGGTCTAGATATCGATGGACGAAAAATGGTGTAAAAATATGAATATATTTTTCTTCTAAATAACATGTTGATACAATGCGACTGCAATATCACTTGAGATACAAAACAGAGGAATCCCTAAGATGAAATCATTAGACTTCATGTATAAGTGGGTTTCAACGAACATTTTTGAAAATGGGTGAAATGGAAACTACGGATCGAACGCGATAAACATGCAATGTAGTTCTCCTGCTCAAAACGAGATATCTACGGCCATGTTCGTTTATTCTCATGCTGTTACTTCAACAGACAACAATCGGCAGTCACCGAAGATATTATAATTAGATGTGGAAGTGCGCCCTCTGACATCAATAAACTTGGTTACTCTGCAAATATTTTTGCGCATAGAGGGCGCACGACTCAATAGTTATATGTTTCAAACATTTCCATGAAGTGTGAATGAAATATTAAATTTACGAACACTTACATACCGACTATCTTCGTATGAGAAGTCAAGCTTCCTGATAATGAATAATACGACATGGAACGCATTAATACTAGCCTGATTGTTACACGTCATACAAATCCAACTAAATTGAGATAAATACCAAATACCAAGCACGTTTTTTTTTCTGTACTAGAATTGATGGGATGTGTCTAGTTTGGAATAAATTGTGCAAACTTATGAGTAATAAGCTTACCTCTTGCTCTCCGCCGTTAGAAATTCCACTGAAAAGAACTCGCCTTTGTGCGAAGAGAAAATAATTAGTCAGACAAGTATTTCAAACGAGTGTATAAATCTCACACAGAAAGGTTAGAGCACCACCCAGTAATAAAAAATAAATAAACCAAACATTTATGAACGTAATCGAATAACCTGGTGATATTCCCAGGGTGCATCTCGTTTATTAATACGTTATTGCGCAAAAAAACAGGAACAGTGTTGCATTGTGGTATGTAAAGATTATATTGATTTTCGAAAAGATAGATAAACCTGTAATTGTGAACCAATTACCTTTGGGTAACGATTTAAGTGCGTACTGCCAGCCTACCAATTTAAATAAATCCAATTAACGATTACAAAGTTCTCCAAACTCAGTAGAAACACCGGCCACACCAAGCAAGGTATTCAACGTATGACGTATGGGTCTTAATCGTTTGTTTCACAATTACTGAAGCCTGAAAATTGGTTGATGCCAAAATTTGTATAATGTTTCTGAACAAGAATTCAGTATCACTCTCATCAAAAACTACTCACATTATATACAATTTACAGCTATCGATATCAAAAATTCACCATATAAATATAAAAGAAACTTTGGATTGAAAAAAAAATATTTAAAAAGTCCTCAACATTCTCAGGTGCAGGAATGTGTTGCCAGCGTTTGATCAACTCAAAGAAGAGCCAATGCTGTTCCTTACTCCAAACAAAACACGTTCGTCATGCTGAGGTATACAAGTGGAAGAAAACAAGTAATTTCATGTCATGATGTGTTTAATTAAATCGATAAAACCAATTAAATATGCAATGTGTTATAATATTGCTTATTCTATGACAAAGTCAGTCAATTAATAAGACAAATCTAATTAACAAATATAATTAACGGGTTGATCGCTGCCAATTTGGAGCAAAAATGAAAATAAATGAAAATGAGGATACGAAACTCAGAGAAAAAGCTGATCCTAGTAGGCGACGCCATGCAACTCACAGAGTTGAATATTTCATTGAATGAATATTACGTAACAATCCCCACGCTGTTCATAGTTTCATCGCTGCCCCAGGAAGATTCTAATTATCACTCATAAACAAGATTAAAAATACTGACTAGTTAATATGACGTTATATCAATATAGTGTAGACTTACTGTCATCTCCCCCTCTCTTATCTGGCGTTAAATATCCCCAACTTGAAATATCCATTTGCAACTTGACGCAAACATGTGGATTGCATATGCGCATGACTAGGACTGACGCCCTCTAAGTTTGCTTCATGCATGGTGACGATGTGTTTCAGTTCCACTCAGCAGACCTAAATGGTTCATATTGTTAAGGGCCATGAAGTGCGTACAATTTATGAAGATGGAATAAAATCAATATTGTTAGTGATGCTGTTGAAGTTGTACATACGTACATAAAATATGCTTAGTTATACCTAGTTATTTTCCTGTCATGCGTAGTATGTACTGGAAAAAAAATCTGATTTAGGGATGATGTTTTTCTGCTGAGTTAGTACTTTTTTTCCAAAAAAATACGTTTTTTTAAAAAACAGAGATAGAAAAAAATGAGTTTCTCATTTATTTGTGGGAAAGATTAAGAGTCACACAAAATGCTTCATGACAAATCAGAATGCTTAATTGCGGAACTTTTATATACACTAAACATTCATGGTACATCATGAATATTCATGAGTTGATCACTATGCAGGTCTTGCATATACGACCGAGCCCTAATTTTAGAATGAAAATTAAACGAGAACCATGACCATGAATTCCAAACCATCAAAGCTCATGCACACGTGTACTACTTCATGCATAGTGTAACACATGTTCGGGGAATTTTATAGCATATTCCATTAAAAATTATAGGCACTGTGTTCTTTCCTATTACGAATTTCGTGAAAAATATTTAATGGGATTTGCTGAAAATGTATATATGAAAATCTATAAAGGGTTTAGAACCGTGAGTTTCAAACAGTGTTTGAAATACGAGACACATTTCCTCGTGAAAAATATTGCGAATGTATTAAATATCGATCACAACAGTCAAGGCCCTGATATAAGATGGAATGTCACACTATTCATGTCTGTAAGTCTGTGAAACATATATTAATATATATTAAAATCAACTCCCAAATGTGAGAACAATTTAAATGGAATGACTTTATATGACAGAGCTTCATGATCCAAACCATGCCATTTGTTTTGTAATTATTACATATGTTCATGGACTTTATAAAATTGCCGGGAAATTTGTAATGACGTCACCCACAATTTTTGTATAAGTGTAAACGTTGTGATCTTCTTTATATTCTATTCACTGAGTCGTTAACTCGGAGTCCAAAAATTCAAAGAAATGTTGAAAATCTAATCCACACCGATTACATGAGTGGGTGAGTGAGCGTTTGCTCAATATATATCAATTTGCTGTGATGAGAGTGTCTCACCTCAACAGTGATGACTGCTAACCTGCTATACTCAATCGGTAGTGCGTTACTTCTTTTTAATTAAAGTAACATGGCATAGAGATACTTACGATATGTCTTATATTCGCTATAGCTAAGAATGTACTGCATTAACCGTGATGCCCACTGTCAAATCCGGCCTTGATTCACGTAGGGATTTGACATGTTGTTCAAGGCATCCCAGAATGTTCGATTTTCCTCCATATATAATAGTACATACGACGGTGGAGATGGTGCCAATTGATGACATTGGATAAGTTATCATCTCTTGTTTGAAATGTTGTTCAATGCATCCCAAGAGATTCTGCTTAATAATACATTAACCAACATTTTTTCAAATTATAGAATTATTGATTTTGTTAATGACCATCGAAATGCATCATGGAAGAATGTTTTGACTTGCAATGATGTAAATCAGATATATCGAAATTTTAGCCAGACATTTTACAAAACGAAAACATGCACCATTAAAACCGAGGGGTAAGAGTAAACGTAGATGTAAAGACACACCTTGGATAACTAAACCAATTAGAAAGTCTATTAAAAGAAAACGTGAACTTTACCATAAACTTGTCAGCAATAATTTTAGTGATACATAACACTCATTATAAAAAAAATATAGAAATATTCTTACGAAAATACTGAAAAAGGCAAAAAAAAAACTACACTACATAACTGTTTACATTGCAAGTCATAACAACATGAAAGAAACATGGGTCACTATAATAAATGATTTACATGGTAACAACAAAAACAAGAATTTAGAAGTACTAAGTCAGCTGAACGTGGTGTCTGGCAGTAAGACAATTACCCATACAAGATTTTAATAACTTTTTTGAACATATTGGTAAAAACCTTTCAAAAACAAAAACCCCATTGTCAAGTAGAGACTTTCGTTCTCATTTACACACTTCACCTCCATATTCACTCTTTATCAAACCTGTAACTGAGCATGGCGTTCATGATATGATCGTATCACTGGATAATGGAAAGGATACAGGATATGATCACATTAATGTCAGACTTTTAAAAGAGCTTGTGTTATATCCCTACCACTGTGTTATCTAATTAACCTCTCTATATCACAAGGTCTCTTTCCCGATTATTTGAAAACAGCACGGGTCATTCCAGTACACAAAAAAGGGAAATCTGGGGATATGGGAAATTACAGACCTATATCTATTTTGTCTATAATTAGTAAATTATTTGAAAAAGATATGAATAAACAGCTAGTTAAATATTTTGATAGTCATAGCATGTTCTATGAACACCGATATGGCTTTAGAAAAAAATTACATTACAAAGATCTCACTCATAAGTTCATGGGCTCTTCATAGACTTCTCTAAAACATTTGACAGTATCTATCACAATATCTTACTTGCCAAACTCGATAATATCTTTTATTAAATTGCATTTAAATTCCATGTTGTCTTGACTTTCTCACTACTATTCTTATTTTCTATTTATGTTATCTATCTATCTATCCCGCATATGTAATTGTAATACGAAAGTGGAGATGGTGGCAATTCATGAAATTGACTAGGTCATCATCTTTTGTCTGACATGCATCATACTGCCTTACGAAAAAAAAATGGTACACCTATGAGGATATTGAATTATGTTTTCTTTGACTTTTGTGCTTGTCTGTTTAACAGTACTACTTTGTTTTTGCCCATGGCTGCTGATATTGGTTTGATGACTTGCTTGTTCATAAATGTTCCACAGTTCTTGTTCCCTTGAGACACAGTGACTCTTGACTGCTTGTTCGTAACAACTGTCGAATGCAGTCTCAGAAAATCTTGGCTTTCTTCCTCAAAATGGACAACCTATGCTCTCAATTATATTCACCCGTGCATTCACCTGTGGTTAAGGCTTAGGGACCAAGATTTCCATTTACTCAGAGAAAGTTGCATGTATGCGAAAGGCAGATAGTCTCAGTACAAAAGTTCTCACCAGTACATGAATTGTGAAATTACAGTCTTCCTCTAAGTGCACCACCGGCTGGAACTCTCTGGTGGGCCTTCTTCATTGTGATAACATACACATCAATATCATATGTATTCTTCAAGAGAATAGACAATTTGCCTGCAGTTAATTAGTGGGCATGTTGGGTCCGAGTAAAATGAGATGTCTCGTGGAAGAATTCTACAATGCAAGATGTGACATTTTCTGCTTTTTAAAGTGCTCCAACCCATCCACTATATCCCACCCGGGCCAAAACTCGTACTCGTGATTTCATTAGAAGAGAGCATTGAATTGTGGGAATATCAATGTTTATCAACACAAATGTTGCACATGCGCGACGCGACAACCATCGCCCTTTAAAATTGTGGTGATTTTTGCAAACATCTTTATTTATAGTTTTGTTCCCGTAACGTTTTTCGAGAGATAAAATTTATTTCGTGTTCGTCCCTCCGCTCTCATAATGTCGATTTCCAATCTGATCGTTGCTACTGGGAATGGTAACGAATTCTTTTCTTCCGTTTCGCTCGTTTTTCATTCAGTTTCGTTTCTTGGCCCTTGTTTCGAGTCATTAAACTTTAAATGAATAGATATCAATAAAAGTCCAGGGTGATATTTTCCTTAACCGTTTTTTTCTGGAGACTGAAAGATAACAAGAAAATATCTAGTCTTCAATACACTGGTGAGTTTTGTTGTCTCTATGTGTACCTACGTGAGTTAAGATATACCTCTGTCTACCTGTCTGCTAAGCCACATTTTGATGAGAGCGCCGATGTGTTGATAGTTTACCACCACGTTTATAACAAGGTTGAAAGTCTCCACAAACTAAGAGTTCTCCTTCTAAATAATCTCGCTGAATGGTATTGAATAAGTGATTAAAGGCTCATTATTATTTAGTGTCAGTGGCGGCGGCCCGGGGGGGGGGGCTCTCCCCCTCGAAAAATGTTGGGGGCGTCGCCTCTCCAAAATCGAGCTGAAACCCTTTGTGTCAGCAAAATTTGCCCCTCAAAATTTCTAAATTTCAAAAAATTTGAGGTAGAGCATACCCGGAACCCTGGTATAGTCGCGTATTAGTTTTTGGTGCGAGGTCAGTGAGCAGATCTCACCCCTCTATGTAAAATGTTGTGCCGCCGCCTCTGAATGTATAGACATCACATAAAACCAGAATGGTTTCGCCGCTAGAGAGCGCGTCTCGCGCTCGTCGTGTTCGATGTGGGTGCCACGGCGACGTAAATATCGCTGTTGTAATTGTTTGTTTACACGGGTATTTTTCGTCTGGCTTGAGCGTTTGAACACTTCTATCAGGGGGGGGGGATCCTTCTCCTCTGAGGTTCTCCACACGTGTCAGGGGAGAATCTCGTCTCGTCTCTCTGTCACGTCCCCTTGAGGTACGGGATCGGGAAAGTCACTTAAACTTTACAGTCAAATAGACACACACAACGAAATACGTTTCAACTCTCGTCTTAGTCGGTCAGTCAAGTACTCTGTAAGACACAGCGCCCTGGGGAAAAGTCCCCAAGACTATCGCAAGGCTGACCCAAGACTGCCTCTGTTCTGGTGTACTCGCCAAGACCAACTAAAAACTCTTTATTCACTTTCAAAACCTTAACCAATTACAAAGAAGTATTAAGACTCTAAGGCGTGGCCTTCAATCATACAGCCAATCACACTAAGTACTGAACACGTCATATCTTTTGATTAATCGGTCACTAAATTAATAACTGCGAATACCAAACTGTCAGAAATAGTAGTCCGAATAGCGACGGTTATCTCGTAATTAGTTCTAAATCACTGAGTCGATTTCCGTCCAGAATCTCACATGGGTCTAAACGATGACAGACATAACACAGCCATTCAATCGTAAACAACTAATTAAGTCGATCAACAGGTACGTGCAAACAAATTCATCATACTTCTATGAGATTGGTATCTTATTTATTTATTTACTTATTGACTCTTACACAATCCCCGGAGGGAGGGGAAATGGTCACAAGGTACAAAAAAAACAAAAAACACACACACACACACAAAAAAACAATATAAAAACAATATACTAAATAACAAAATACAATCACTAAATTACTAAATAATACAAAATCACTAAAATACTAAATAATATTTGACATATTTGACATATTCAGACCTATGGATAAAAGGTTACGCGCATTATCGCGATGCATTGCGTGATTGGAATTGACAAGTACTCTGGTAAGTAAACAATGGACGATTAAAAAAAAGTAGGTCAGGCCATTCACCGCTTGATGTAATCGAATACGAAATAAACGTGTGAAATAGGCCTGTTGATTTTCAATCCCTGAAATGATGTTCAATCGCCTTTTTTAACATCATCCTACTATTACAGGGTATATATCCAGCATCTTACCACAGGATAATATATATTACGCATCATAAATGGTTATTTTCAACATAATATGGAGTATATATTTAGTACCATATGGGGGTATATATTTAGTAGTATATGGTGTATATATTTAGTATCATATGGGGTATATATTATGTACCATATTGGTTATATATTTAGTAGTATATGGGGCATATAGTTAGTATCATATGGGATATATATTTAGTATCATATGGGATATATATTTAGTATCATGTGGGGCATATATTTAGTGTCATATGGGATATATATTTAGTATCATATGGGTATATATTTAGTATCACATGGGGCATTAATTTAGTATCATATGGGATATATATTTAATATCATATGGGGTACATATTTAGTATCATATATGGGTAATATATTTAGTATCATATATGGGTATATTTTAGTATCATATATGGGTATATATTTATTATCATATGGGTATATATTTAGTATCACATGGGGCATTAAATTAGTATCATATGGGGTATATATTTAATATCATATGGGGTACATATTTAGTATCATATATGGGTAATAAATTTAGTATCATATATGGGTATATTTTAGTATCATATATGGGTATATATTTATTATCTTATGGGTATATATTTAGTATCACATGGGGCATTAAATTAGTATCATATGGGTATATATTTAATATCATATGGGGTACATATTTAGTATCATATATGGGTAATATATTTAGTATCATATATGGGTATATTTTAGTATCATATATGGGTATATATTTATTATCATATGGGTATATATTTAGTATCACATGGGGCATTAAATTAGTATCATATGGGGTATATATTTAATATCATATGGGGTACATATTTAGTATCATATATGGGTAATATATTTAGTATCATATATGGGTATATTTTAGTACAATGTATCATATATGGGTATATATTTATTATCATATGGGTATATATTTAGTATCATATGGGGCATTAATTTAGTATCATATGGGGTATATATTTAGTATCATATGGGGGTATATATTTAGTATCATATATGGGTATATTTTAGTATCATATATGGGTATATATTTATTATCATATGGGTATATATTTAGTATCATATGGGGCATTAATTTAGTATCATATGGGGTATATATTTAATATCATATGGGGTACATATTTAGTATCATATATGGGTAATATATTTAGTATCATATATGGGTATATTTTAGTATCATATATGGGTATATATTTATTATCATATGGGTATATATTTAGTATCACATGGGGCATTAATTTAGTATCATATGGGGTATATATTTAGTATCATATGAGGGTATATATCCATAATCATTAGGATATTTTTCCATATATGAGCGTTGGTGGGAGCAAACTATGGTTCAAATCCTAGGCGGTACATCCCGAATAAACGCAATCAGATTATTTGAGCAATATTAAAGGTTGTATTCTGAGAGTCGGTAGCGAAATTGACCAATAAATAGGTTTCAAATTCGTTTTTCGCTAATGTTCAGTATTTTCCTAACATCCTCGACGGCAATTTTTGTTTACAAAATCCCTCACCTCGAATGATTGTTTCTAAGTTTTAGTAATACACGGAACACTGCAATAAAGACATTCCGTTTTTCGACATTGTGATATTCTTTCGTTTTTATGCAGAAAAAGTAAAATAATATTTATTAAAGTTATTGTTCATACATGAGTTGTTAAACACACTACATATTTTGAAATCCCATTCAGCTACTTTCAGTCATAATTTAAGACAAATAAAATGCAAAAATACATAGAATATAGCGAATTATCTTTGTTTTTCTGTAATATTATTGTGTAATATGTAATAATGAAAATCATCATTAGTGTGCATATGGAATACATTTTGTTAAACATTATTTATAATATATTTATGAATTTTCTTTGAAGTTGCTTCCAGGTTTTTGCCTTCCCTCCTCCAAAAAAACGAAAGAACTTGTCGAAAACGGGACGTCTTCAGTTTATCATAGTGTTCCAGATACTTGCAATATCACCGTTATTCTCCATTCCACGTACATCGGTTGGTTGCTATTGAGAATAGTTCTTTTTCCATCGAATCGACTATAAGTTGGATTATGTCAGCGGCAAATAGGATTTGAATAAGGTTCGTTTGAGGTCACATTAATGAACTTTGTTTATTTGCCAAACCTGGAGACGGTGTTATTGAAGAGCGACCTCAGTGTTCAAAACAGTTGTTTTATTTCCTTTCTAGTACTGGAAGTAAGTTGCACATTATATTTCCAGCGATGTGCATTTTTCTTAGTTAACTGTAGTAAGTAGTAAAGTCTTACTTGTATTGATCGAATAAAAAAATCGTTAAAAAGAGAAGGGAAGAGGTCGAAAAAAAAGTAAACAGTAAACCAATTTGCATAATATGAGGTCATTTATTTAAATTGGCGCCATATTGGATAGTAAGAGGGTGAATGAGATTCGTGCGTGTTACAAACAACGTAGAGTTTGTGTACATTTAATGTATAACTATTAAGTTGACCATCGTATCGAAGGATTCGATATTATCAAAGCTCTAAGCCCTGGTCATGGACGCTATTTAATCTGTCAACACTGAAAATGGCTCATTCACATGCGCACTTTTGTGGAAGTTTTACTTGTCCAGTGTGTATGATTGGTTTCACCTCGGCGCTGGACATGGAACAGCACTGGGTCCAGGAACATAGTTTTGGCGAAGAACTGAATGTCCGACGAGTGGAAGAGCTGGATTCGAATGATGGCATTTCGGTGGTAAGTTGAACTTCGAAGTTTGCGAAAATCGGTTGTAAAGTTTTCGTGTGTAAATTTTTGGCTTGGCTTGTGTTGTTGCGTTGCCAATCGCTGTATGGTATCCTGTCATGTTCGTGTTAAAATCAGCGGGACCTATTTAACCCCTATACCTATCAGTTTAATACCCCTGGTCAAGAACATATCAATGTTGCTACTTGGAGGCACTGACGTCGCTAAGTGTGTGGTAACGAGTCGACGAGCTTCACGAAACTCGACACTGCAATGGTAACTGCACTGTAAACAATGTCACGCTTTGAAAAAAATGGTTGCGTCAACTTTAACGTCGTTGTAAACACAAATGTTGGTACGAGTTGTCAAAATCCAAAATTCGTCTCTTGATTTATGCACGGTAGGAATATCGATAAATTAACGTGTATTAGATTCGTACACCGGGAAACATTACACAGACATTAATGACGCGCTCTGGACTGGCCTGTCTCTTCCGCCTCGGCGAATACGTCAAATAAATCAACAACTTCAGTAAAGTTGCAGCTGCAGTATGGTACAATCGTTTTACGGCAAGATGTGTCAATACTTCTGTTTACATCAGCGCATTAAATTATGACACGTTTTGCTAATTACTGGCCAATTAATGGCAATCGGTAATGATAAGATTTTTAAAGTGACAAGTTGCAAAGTTCAGATTCAGACTGGCCCCTCCCACTTTTGCAGGTCAGGTGTATTTATGGTGGCATTCCTGCATTAGGAAATGTCAGAAAGCTTTGATACAAAATATTAAAATGTTGTGGTATTAAATTGTAATTGTTGCTAACAAAATATTCAATTACTTGTTAATTGTCAATTTTATACTGGTTAAGGGGAGACCAAGACATGTAGGAGACGTATAATGTTAGACTTTTGATGGCCAATTATTCTTTTTTATAGGGTAATACACCAATTATACTTTTCTTTGGAAGCTTCATTTTCTTGTGCCTAACTTAATGTATATTATTTGTTCGTCAGCCACTAATATTAATTAACAATTAGGGAATGCTTGGCTTGGGGGTGTATTTTGATTATTTTATTAATTTAATTTTTGATATGTGATATATGAAGTAGTTATTTTCAGAACGATTAATGCAATCGATCTGAGGCTATCTTACCCTACTTTTGTGACAGTCATTATTTTGCAATCAGAGTATAGAACAAAATGATTAATCTCCTAGATGTTGAACTTGAAGTAACAAAGATGCCCAATTGGTTATTTTAAAATACACATATGTGTGTACTTAATAAGACTCGATCTTCAAGCTGCTTGATTCATTTTTGAGGGGCTCATTGGTTAGTCGTTTTTTACCAATAACAAGTGTCATTGCACGTAACAATAGGTCGTCGTCGTAACAATAGGTCGTCGTTGTACTACGTTGACCTGTATAGTGAGTGAGAATTGCAGAAATCGGTTGTTGTGTACAAAGCAGCTCTTCAGGTTAATCGCATACCCAGTGTCTTACCTAGGATTCAAGATTGACAGATTTTTGTTTATTTTTGCTTACTTTTCCCTTTTTTTCTAGAGCAGTTTTCCACATTAAAATTCCTACTTTTTATACTGGCTTTTTTTCTTCAAAATCGGGTTTATTTGTCACATCAAAGAGCAATTACCAGTTTTGTTTTAAATCATTGATGGGGCACTGCATAACACATGGTATATTTCGCGAGACAAGTATTTTCTTGAATTTTAGATTTTTAACTAGTAATTGCGATCATAATTTCACCATTTCTTTTTTCTGAGTATGTTTTCAAATCTACCATTAATAATTTTAAACTTTGCCTTGTCGTAGTAAATAGCCAGTATTTGTGTACTTCTCATTACATCCCGATTATGGCAAGTTGGATTTAATGTGTTCAGTTTTGTTTAATCCCTTGAATGTCAATAAAATAACTATTTTCACCAAATATTTTTACATCTCGAAAAAAAACCTCACAGAATGCAAAATTATATCCTTTTGGTTCAAAATTAACCAAAAAATGATAGAAAAATACAATATTTTGGCAGAAAAATGATCAGAGTATGTTGAATTGAGTATATAACACAAACATGGTAAAAAGCACTAATCATACAAATTCTAATTGTTACTCAAAATAGTTGTAAGTAATATCCTTAGGTTACCCATTATTATCACCTTTGTGGCTCGGCTTTAATACAAAAATGTAAATGCAAATCCTAGGGGGAACCGGGGAAGTTAGTCGACAACTTGATGGGGTAGCTATACCTTTTGTGGTGTCATAATAGAGCTGCTTTTGTGATTGTGTACTCCTTGTCTGATTTAAATGCTTTGGACATTTTTTTTTCAATAAATGTTTTGTAAGGTATTTAGGCTGCCATGGACAAAACTTGTTGTGAGGTTCAAAATCATACAAGATAAGTTGGCACACACAATCAGTTTTTCAGTTTGCAAAATTAGTCGTACTTAGAATGTAAATGTCATTTTCAAAATAATACATGTACTAATTGTTCTTCAAACTATCTACAGCTACCTGAGTAATCTTACAAACTCGCGCAATTTGAAGCTCTTCTTATGTTTCAGACACACATTTGTCACCAGTTGTTTATTACAACACAGATGAAGTCAGGATGGTTATTAATTTGAATTTGTGCATTCTTTAAACATTGAAAATAGTAGTTGAGCAAGGTTGCCAAAAAAAATGTTCTATTCTAATTTATTTAATTTATTCTATTCTAGTACTGTAGTCTGATCAATTCCTTCCTATCTTGACATTTTTTTTAATATTTAATTTTATAAATTATTACACTTGTAAAGCATCTCAGCTCACTAATGTTTGGCCATTTCACACACTAGAATTCATATTATTCATTATTTTAAATTCCTGTTTAGTTTCCTGCAGTACCTTGTACCCACAGTGAGCTCAATAAAATGCATTTATTAGATGTTATATTACCATGTGCTTTGATTGTGCCGATGTGGGTGCTGTCAATGTGATGATGAGGTTATCTTGTAAAACGATTTCCATTTAACTTGTTAATTCTTTCTCCTAGTAGTTGACTGCTCAACTACTTATGCGGTGCATATTGTTACCATGGCAACTGACTGAATGTGACATGTGATGGTTAACTTGTAAGAAATGTAAATTACCATCTCAACTCGTGGTTCATATATAATTAATATGAACATTGCGAGTTTTTTACTTCAAAAATGCTGACTGAATCAGTTTAAAAAAACTGGCAGCCAGCATAGGAATGTTACATGTAGGTAAATGAAATAAATTCTGTGTCTCTGGTAACGCTACCTACCCATGTTGGTTGTCATTAAAAATTTGAATTAAATGAGATGAAAATTGTTTTCCTATATAATATGCAAAAAGCTATGGTAATTTCACCACTTTTCATGTACTTATATGTTATGGATAACGGCCATTTAGTGTTAGAAATGTATTAAATATAATTTTCACGTCTCTTGTTATCCATGATTATGTTCTCGCAGAATCGGCAGAAATCTAAGTGGTCCACTACTTTTTGGGAAAAATAAAAATATTATAAAAATCTCTGTCTTACCTACTTAGTATTTTCTTTTGATTTTTTGTTGTATCTTGGTCTATTTTTCTGCTTACATGGTTTCTATTAATGATTACTTTCATTAATTCATACTTTTGGTATCTCAGGTTGTCTTATTAATCTTTGCTCTAATGTACATTTCAATATGAACGACTCATGAAAACTGAAAAAAAAAAATACTTGAATAATAAGCCACCTTCATACTCACCTTACTAAGGAAATAAATAATTTGTCGCAAAAAACAAAATAACCATGTTTCTGTTTTTTTTAATTCAAAAAACATTTTTATTCTGAAATGATGTTTTATATAGTTGTGATTTTCGTTGTCCACTTTCAAATGTCATACAATTTCATAATCTTATTTTTTTTTGATATGTTTGTTTCTTTCTTGATTGTGATGTCACTTTGTTGCATGAATAAATTAGCATCTCATTTCATATGCGCAGCAACACATGACATCTAATTTACATATTTTTGAGCATTCTTAGTTTCAGAAATAAGCTTTAATACAAGGGGTATCCCCCTTTTTCTGGTATAAAAATAGAATGAAAGTATTTCAGTTGTTAATTACATGTAATTATACTGAAAATGTACGAGATTTCTTCAGCAAATAATGAAGCCAAGGCATCTCCCCTTTTACGCAAACTGGGAAGTTCGAATTACTAAACGAAGTACAAGACAACGAAGATATCCAAGAACCAACACATACCAAAAATTGTATCTCAAAAGTGAATATAACGTGGTGTATTTTAATTCTGATCGGACCGGAAGTGGGAATTTGTCAGTACTCTAAATATTCAAACATATTTTGTTATAAGGTAGTAACAAAAGTACATTTTGGTGTGTTCAGTGGGTTAAACTTTTCTCCAACACTATGTTCTCATTGATTCCAATTTTGTCATCTATAATATAAATGTAGCTTAGAATCAAACAATCTAATCAATCACAGTAGGTAATGTTTATTGACACCTTTTTAACATAGCTTAGTAATATTTTCCAGTGCTGAAATAACATTTAGATTGGTCTTATAAATTCAGTAAATGTAATATATAGGGTAGGCCTTATAAGCACTGAGTCGTAAATTACCCGTGACATTTGCAATCTTTGCGGCTGTTAGAATACAACTGATCACTTACATAATGATTTATCGCAATGGTAATGATTCATTCTTGTACTGTAGAGAGATTTAAAAGATTATTTTTAATCCTGGTTTCCAGGTGCAAGTTTGTATTTCGTCTTACGTTAGAATATTTTGGCGTTGTTGTCTAGATATCAGATGCATATGTATGCGATCTAGAAATGTATGCTGAAGTGCTGGGGTCGACACTGTTATTGTATATACGTTGATACGAACTGGCATACTTTATTCCAAATGTACTTGATCGCATTCCAGAATTTGAGTCCTGAGCAGCTGCATTGAGGGGAGGCATGGTGTTGCGTTGTGTACTGT